CTCAGCCAGCTTTGCTGGCTGAGGAATTCTGGGAGTTGAAGTCCACAAGTCTTAAAGTTGCCAAGGTTGGACACCCCTGATCTAGATAGATACAGATATGAATGAAGGAGGATTAAACCCAGCAGGATTAAACATTTTAACAAAAACCACCCACCCCGCCCTCCCCCAAAGGAAACCCCCAAAGGAAACCGTCACGGAGCCACCCCGTACATTCATTCGCATGTCAGCCGTCGGATTAGGCCGCGTCCCCTTCAGACGCCCCCCCCCCCCTTTCTTTCCCCCCCCCCACCCCCACAAGTGCAGGGCTTATTCTTCCTCCTCTCTCAGGGCACCATTAAACTGGGCCTCCAGCTAAGCAGGTGGCTTTACGTGTAAAATCAGGCTTATAAAAGCTGCATTATTTAAGCGATGGCAAAGTTGCGTGACCGCTAGCCAGCTTCGTCCCGATAGTCCCCCCCAACACGATAAATTTAATTTTCCTTTTTTCAGGTCGCGGAGGGAGGGGGGGAAAATAAATAAATAATAGAACTTGGATCCTTTTGCAGGGCTCTCTCCGTTGGTATATCTCTGTATTTTATTTTGTTTTTATTTTTTTGTAATGTTCGCTCGCTTGCTTCCTGTGCAAGGAGGTTGTATTTATTTATTGCCCGGCACATCTTTGAGGGAAGGTAGAAGGAGGAAGAAAAAGAGATTAAGTTCGAAGAACTTAAAAGTAGGAATGGTAAGAAGGAGGCAAAGGAACCGATATGTTTTTAATTAGTTTGAAATATCTCTCTTTGGAAAATAAGGGATTGTTCGTAGGCGGTAAAAGAGTTGCGGATTTTAACAAAAATGGTATGGAGCAATCTTGGCAGCCCCTCCAAAATATTTCAATTATTGATTGAATCGAAGGAAGAAGAAGGAGAAAGGAAAGGAGAAGGAACCAACTGTGGAACATAGAATAACAAGAGTTGGAAGGGGACCTCGGAGGTCTTCTAGTCCAACCCCTGCTTGAGCAGGAGAAGACCCTACACCATTCCAGACAAATGGCTGTCCAATCTCTTCTTAAAAGCCTCCAGTGATAGAGCAACCCACAACTTCTGGTGGCAAGTTGTTCCACTGGTTCATTGTCCTCACAGTCGGGAAATTTCTCCTTAGTTCTGAGAGAAGGAGAACGAAGAAAAGGAGGAAGGAGGAGAAAGAAAAGGAGAAGGAAAGAAGGAAAAGGAGAAGGAGGAAAGCTAGAAGATGGAGAAGGCGAGGAAGGAGGAAGATATGAGACAAGGGGAGGAGAAGTAGGAAGAGAGGTGGAGGAGGAAGAGGAGGGGGAAGGGAAAGAGAGGATGGAGAAGGAGAAGATATAGTAAAGGAGAGGAGGAGAAGGAGAAGGAGGAAGAGAGGTGGAGGAGGAAGAGGAGGGGGAAGGGAAAGAGAGGATGGAGAAGGAGAAGATACATTAAAGGAGAGGAGGAGAAGAAGGAGGAAGAGAGGAGGAGGAGGAAGAGGAGGAGAAGAAACGTTGGAAGATGGAGAAGGAGAAAATGGAGAAGGAGAAGATATGGTAGACGAGAGGAGGAGGAGGAGGAGGAAAAGGAGAAAGAGAGGATGGAGGGGGAGGAGGAAAAAGAGAAGGAGAAACGCCACTTTCCAAAGCTGGCTTTTCCCCCCCCCCCCCCACCTGTCTCCAGGTTTCCCACCGTTCTCCTTAATCTGCCCATTATAATTAATCCCTATTTCCTGCCGATCGGCAACTTTAGAACTGGGGACTTTGATTTTTAATTTTAATTTTTCCTTCCCTCCCCGCCCCCCCATTTCTCTCCGTCATCTCCCACTGGGGTAGGAGCAGGAGGAATCCAAGCCCGGCTGGTTCCTCTGCGGCTTTGAAAATGGGGGGAATTTTTTAATTCCCCTCCCCACCATGGGGGGAAAAAAAGGGAGGAGAGAGAGCACACGATTCGAGATATAGAAAGATAAAAAAGAAATAGAAATAGAAACCCAGATGGCCTTTTTTTGAAAGGAGGGTCCTTATTCTTATTTTTTTTATTTTTTTGGAGGGGTGGGAATTGCAATTAAAAAGCCCACCTATAAATGTTTTGGAGAGAGTGAAGGTCTTAAGAAATTGGTATGCTGTCTGCCTCTCCGTGATCTGCAGTTCCACGGTGTTTTTGATCAGAGGTTTGGGAGCGTTTTAAACCTCTTTGATAACATGTTCGGGGAAAACAAATGCGTTTCGGAGCCCCTTTCGCGGCTTCACGGAGTCCCGTATTATTTGCAGAGTGTAGAAGAAACGTAAAGCCCCAGGGACACCCCCAGAGGTCTTCTAGTCCAACCCCCTGCGCAGGGCAGAAGACCTCAGGATATGACATCTGGATTCGATACCGGGAGCCTTTGACTTTACGACCTACGCCATTCTGAGGCTTGCGACTTCCCTTGCCGCCGTCGTTAAGCGAGTCGCCGCAGCTGTTCGGCGAGCGATGATGGCTGTTCGGCGAATCGGGCTTCCCCGTTGATGTTGCTATCGTCATCAGTACGAGTCAAGGGTGTGAATTTTGATCATGTGAGCGCGGAGACGCAGCAACAGTCGTTAAGTGTGAAAAACAGTCCTTAGTCGCTTTTTTTTTCCAGGGCTGTTATAACTTTGAAAGGTCACTAAGCAAACTGTCGTAAATCGAGGATGATCTGCAGTTATCCCAACTCGCATTCAGACAGTACGTGATGCCCAAACTTCCAAAATTCGTTGCTAAAAAAATAATAATAATGATTTTTCTCTTCTTTTTTGCAGTGAATTTGCTGGATACTTCCAAGATTATTGGAGACTGGGGCTGGCTCATTTATCCTTCCCATGGGGTAAGTCGTAACCACACTCGTAATCGTGTAATCACGGCCGCATTCATAATCATGTTCATAATCACAGTCACAATAAATCATAATCACAATCATAACCACAATCACATTCATAATCATTCACAATCATAACAAATCACAATCACATCATCATATTCATAATCAGTCACAATCACAATCAGTCATGGCCACAATCACATCATATCACAATCACATTCATAACCACAATCATATTCATAATCATCATATCACAATCACATCATATCACAATCACATTCCTAACCACAATCATATTCATAATCATATTCATCATCACAGTCACAATCACAATTGCGATCATAATCATATTCATAATCGCTATCATTCATAACAACAATCATTCATAATCATTCACAATCACAATAAATCACAATCACAATCGCATAATCATATTCACAATCACATCACAGTCATAACCACAATCACATTCATAGTCATTCACAGTCATAATCACAACAATAATAAATCGCAATAATAATAAATCGCAATCACAGTCGAATTCATAATCACAATCACAATCGCAATCAATCATAGTCGCAATCATACTCATAGCCACAATCGTATTCATAATCACATTCATAATCACAGTCACAATCACAATAAATCATAATCACAATCAATCATAACCACAATCATTCACAATCACTCACACTCACAATCATAATAAATCATAATCACAACCACATAATCATATTCACAGTCACAGTCAGTCAAAATCACAATCATAACTACAACCACATTCACAATCTATCACAATCATAATCACAATCACAGCCACAATCATAATTATAATCGTTCATATTCACACTCTCAGTCTCAATAAATCATAATTGCAATCCCCAGTCACAATCATCATCATCACAATCACAATAAATCATCATCGCAATCACTTAGCGACGGTTCGAAGTTACAACGGCACTGCAAAAAAGTGACTTGTGATCGTTTTTCACACTTGACGGCCGTTGCAGCCTCCCTAGGGCCACGCGATCAAAATTCACATGCTTGGCAACCGACTTGTATTTATGACGCTGGCCGCATCCCGGGGCTCTCGCGATCCCCTTTGGCCACCTTCTGACGAACGGGGGAAATCCAGATTCGCTCAACGACTAACTAAAGCTGCGATTCGCTTAACGCCGTTGGCAGGAAAGGCCTCAAACACGAAGCAAAATTCAATTAACGACGGTCTCGCTTGACCAACGGAGATTTGAGGCTCGATTCTGGTCCCCAAGTCGAGTTTTCTATTTTCATTTTTTGGAAATTTTGCGTCGTTTGGGGAGGCTCCCAAGTCAAACCCGCCAAGGCTGGGAATGGCGCGCTTCTTATTTCTTCTCCTTGAGTCTTATTTTATTTTATTTTTAATTTTGGGGGGATGGGGGGGCGCTGGGGGAGGGAAGGATCCCAGAGAGCAAAATTAGATCCGGGAAAGAAGATTGGAGCATTCTCCAGAACCGACAACCGGCAGGGGGAAAAAAAAAACCCTCTCAGCCAAAAAAAAAATTTCCCCTTTTTCCAATCTTGCACAGCGCGTTTGCGAAAATTGAATGTAATTTAAGGAGAGGTTTTCCTCCCGGCTGCAAAGAATTTGAACACGCGCTGCCCTCCTTGCATGACAAAAGCAAAGCGGAGCCCAGAGAGAAAACGCAGCACAAGACAAATAGTAGAACCTAGGATCATAAGGTTGGAAGGGGCCTCGGAGGTCTTCTAGTCCAGCCCCCTTCTCAAGCAGAAATTCCCTGACAAATGGCTACCCAATCCCTTCTTAAAAACCTCCAGTGATGGGAGCCACCCACAACTTCTGTGCCACAGGTCGGTTCTTCTAACTGTCAGGACATCCCTCCTCTGTTCTAGGTTTTCTCTCTCTCCCTCTCATTCTCTCTCTCTCTCTCTCTCTCTCTCTCTGTCTTTCTGTTTCTTTCTCTCTCTCTCTCTCCCTCCCTCCTTCCTCTCTCTCCTTCTCCTCTCTCTTTCTCTCCTTCTCTCTCTCTCTCTCTCTCTCTCTCTCTCCTTCTCTCTCTCCTCTCTCTCTCTCCACTTTCTCTCTCTCCTCTCTCTCTTTCTCCTTCTCTCCCTCCTTCTCTCTCCTTCTCTCTCCTTCTCTCTCTCTTTCTCTCCTCTCTCTTTCTCTCTCTCCACTTTCTCTCCTCTCTCTCTTTCTCTCTCCTCTCTCTCTCTCCCTCTCCTTCTGTCTCTTTCTCTCTGTCTCTTCTCTCTCTCTCCTTCTCTCTCCCTCCCTCCCTTTCCTCTCTCCTTCTCTCTCTCTCTCTCCTCTCTCTTTCTCTTCTTCTCTCTCCCTCTCCCTCTCTCCCTCTCTCCCCTCTCTCTCCACTTTCTCTCTCTCCTCTCTCTCTTTCTCTCCTTCTCTCTCTCTTTCTCTCCTCTCTCTCTCTCTCTCTCTCCCTCTCTCCTTCTGTCTCTTTCTCTCTGTCTCCTCTCTCTCTCTCTCCCTCTCTCTCCCTCTCTCCCTTTCCTCTCTCCTTCTCTCTCTCTCTCTCCCTCCCTCTCTCTCTCCCCCTTGACAGAAAGAGCCCTAGGTTCAAATCCCATCCCCATCCTGACCCCCCCGCCCTTTCCTTCCCCCCCCCTCTTTCTCTCCCCAGTGGGACTCCATCAACGAGATGGACCAATTCTTCCAGCCCATCCACACCTACCAGGTGTGCAACGTCATGACGGCCAACCAGAACAACTGGCTGAGGACCAGCTGGATTCAGCGGCACGGCGCCCACCGGGTTTATGCCGAGATCCGCTTCACCCTGCGGGATTGCAACAGCATGCCCGGCGTCTCAGGCACCTGCAAAGAGACCTTTAACCTCTACTACCTCCAATCCGACCGGGATCTGGGCAGCACCACCCGCGAGAGCCAGTTTGTCAAGATCGACACCATCGCGGCCGACGAGAGTTTCACCAACGTGGACCTCGGGGTCCGGCGGCTGAAGCTGAACACCGAAGTCCGGGGGGTGGGACCCCTGACCAAGCGGGGTTTCTACCTGGCCTTCCAGGACATCGGCGCCTGCATCGCCGTCGTCTCCGTCCGCGTCTATTACAAGAAGTGTCCCGCCATGGTCCGGAACCTGGCGGCTTTCTCTGAAGCGGTCACGGGGGCAGATTCCTCCTCCCTGGTGGAGGTGCGGGGGGAGTGCGTTGTGCACTCAGAGGAGAGGGACACCCCTAAAATGTACTGCAGCGCGGAGGGCGAGTGGCTGGTGCCCATCGGGAAGTGTGTCTGCAGCGCTGGGTACGAAGAGCGGAAGGACGCGTGTTCAGGTAAGACGCCGGTTGGGGAGGATGGTTTGGGGTGTACCAATAGGGCGGCGAGAGAAAAATCCTTGCCCAGCCAGTCCTCGACTTAGCGACCACAACGGAGCCCTCGATGTCTCTTGCTAAGCAAGACGGTTGAGTTTCGCTCCATTTTATGACCCTTCTTGCCACCACTGTTTTTAAGTGAATCATTCCAGTGGTTAAGTCAGGAGTGATACGGTGGCCTTAGAGGTGGAGCTCTTGCCTCACAATCAGAAGGCTGTGAGTTCGATCCTAGGAAGAGGCGGATATTTTTCTCTCTGGGCACCCTGAGACTATTATCTGCTGAACAAAACTCCGTACTGGCAACGGGTAGGGCATCCAGCCAGTAAAACACTCTTGCTAGCTTTATTCTGTTTCCCAGACTCCACCCCGCAAAGATGATTCCAGTGGTTCAGTGAATCCGGCTTCCGCATTGACGCGGTTCGTCGGAAGGTCGCGAAAGGGGGATCACAAGACCCCGAGGCACTGCAACCGTCGTAAACATGAGTCAGTGGCCAAGCGTCCGAATTTGGATCACTTGACCACGGGGTGTAACAATCCTAAGGGTGAAAAAGGATCTTAAGTCCGTCCATCTGCCTGTCTGTCAGACAGATGGACGGATGGACGGACGGACAGACAGATGGAGAGATAAAAAATAATAGAGATGCAAAAATAACAGAGATGCAGTAGAACATCTCATGTCTCATAGAAAGTCATTTCCCCACACTCAAAACCACGCAAAGAATCTTTTATTAGTAATCTTTCCGGATAAAACCGTCTTTTCCGGGTGATCGATATTTCCAGGTTAAACAAAAAAATCTTTTGGGCCCAACCTGGCGTTGTAAAAAAGCCGGATTTTCTTGCGCCCCCGAGTAAAACAAATACACACCGTTGGGATTGTGCGCAGAAAGAGAAATATTTGCCAAATTAAGCCCCAATGTGTGAAGGATTTAGAAGATTTAAGGAGATGAGGGAAACGAGGCATCCGTGGAAGCGGCTCGAAGGAAGGAAGGACGGAAGGAAGGCTCGGCAACTGGCGTGCACTTATGTCGGTTGAAGTGACTCTCCCGCCAGCAAAGTCAATGGGGCAGCCAGATTCCCTTCAACGACGGGGGCACAAAAGGGACGTCAAACGGGGCAAGAGCCCCTTAGCGACCGTCTCGCTTAGCAACCAATCTTTGGCGCTTCGATTCCAGTCGTAACCCGAGCACTCCCCCACCCTGACATTTTTTTCTCGGCAGAGGCGCTACCCCGATGCTTTGCACATCGTTGTCATTGCTGCGTTTTGCAAAGTTGCGTGGCGCCAACTTTCTCCGAGCTTCGGAAGCCGTTCCTCCCCTCCGTCCGTCCCTCCGTCTTCCCCGGGGGGCGGGTCCAGCAAGATCATCTGGCCCGCCGCTGTCTAATCGACGATAAGAAGACGGGAGCCGACGTGCGCCGATCGCCCGAGGCGACGCGTGTTCAGGAGAGCCACCGAGGACTTGAATGTTTATTTCCTTTTGACTTCTTCTCCAAAGGAGAAGCGAGCGTTGACTTAGGGAAGACATTGCGTGAAGCGGGGGGGTGGAATTTGTTCAGCTGCGGGGGAAAAAATTGGGGGAATGAATTTCTGCCTTGACAACATTGAACAACGCAAGGCTAGCAGCGCTTCAAAGTCACAGCGGGAAAGGACGCTCGGGTAAAAAAAAAACCATGCCCGCCTGCCGTCCGAGGACGTTGGATAAATTTGGGACGGCGTTCCAGTTACGGGCCGTCTCTTCTTTTCCAAAGGAGGTTTTTCTAGAAAAAAACAGACCGCTAATTGGTCTGGAAAGGGTCTAGGGTTTTTGTACCTGAGCGTGGGGGGGTGGGGGTTGGGCTAGATGACCACTGAGGTCCCTTACGACTCGGGCGTTCTGTAATTCTGCCACCTCAGACCAATTAACGGCTTGCCTCCAGAAGCGGTGGGTGCTTCATCACTGGAGGCTTTTAAGGAGACACTGAACAGCCATGAGCAGGGGGCTGGACTAGAAGACCTCCAAGGTCCCTTCCAGGTGTATGATTCTGAGGTAGGTAGGTAGGTAGGTAGGCAGAGAGAGGGGGGGAGGGAGGAGGAGAGGGATATAGAGATAGATATAGACAGATAGATATAGATAGATAGATGTAGAGAGAGAGACATAGAGGTAGAGAGAGAGATAGACATAGATAGATAGATAGATAGATAGATAGATAGATAGATAGATATAGATAGATATAGATAGTAGGTAGGTAGGTAGGTAGGTAGATAAATAGATAGATAGATAGATAGATAGATAGATAGATAGATAGATAGATAGATAGATAGATAGATAGATAGATAGATAGATAGATATAGATAGATGGACAAATATAGAGATAGACAGATAGATATAGAGAGATGTAGAGAGAGAGACATAGAGATAGAGAGAGAGAGAGAGAGAGAGAGAGAGACATAGATAGATAGATAGATAGATAGATAGATAGATAGATAGATAGATAGATAGATAGATATGGAGAGAGAGAGAAAGGTAGAGATAGATATAGATAGATGTAGAGAGAGAGAGAGAGAGAGATAGACAGACAGACAGACACAGACGATAAGTAGATACGATATAGGTAGATTATATAGAGTAGATAAATAGACGAGACAAATGATGGATGGATGGATAGATGACAGACAGAGGTAAAGACAGACGGATGGATAGAAGGAACTGCTGGCCTCTAGAAGCTGTGAATGCTTCAGCACTGGAGGATTTTAAGAAGAGACTGGATAGCCATTTGTCTAGAATTGTCTAGGCCTAGGGTTTCCTTGTGGAGCATGGGGTTAGGCTAGACGACCTCCAAGGTCCCTTCCAGCTCCGTGATTCTGAGATAGGTAAGATTCACGAAAGACGGAGGTAGGGAGAGATGGATGGAACAACAACAAGAGACGGGACAGCCATTTGTCTGGAATGATATAAGGTCTCCTGCTTTGAACGGTCATTCAACGAGTGGCCATAACGCGAGGACCCCCCGTCTCATTCCCAGCGGAGAACTCTTGAGAGCTTTTCGCTCGATTTGAGCAAAATGTGCTTTCAAATCTTGCACGGACTCTCATCTCGCTCGCTTGGAGATCAAACGGCGTTCTCGTCGCCGCCTAGATTAGGTTTCGCGTTGAAACGACGGAGGAGAACAGTTTAATTTGAAATTGCTAAATAAATACCTTTATTTTTCTTCTTCCCTTCGGTTTAGGCAGGGCAAATAAAGGACTATAAATAAACACCCTTTGGAGATTCGTGGGGGGAAAAAGCTTTGCAGGAGAGAGAGAAAAAAAACAACAACAAATCAGTTTATTTATTCATGCCAAGTCCTCCTTTTTTAGATCTGTTTTATTTTTAGAACTTGGAATAATACAATTAGGAGGGAAAATGAAAATACGTTTGCCCAGGCATGGGTGGAGCACTGGAGGAAGAAAACCAGACGCTGAAAATGGCCTTTTTTTTTTTTAGCCTCCCTTCCTTTTTTTCAGATGGTCCTCGATTCACAACGATCCGTTTAATGACAGTTTGAAGTTACAAACGGAAAAAGGGACTTACGACTGTTTTTCACACAGCGACCCCAGGTCAAAATTCAGACGCTTGGGAACCCGTATTGATGATGGGATTGATCGATCGATCGATAGGTCTCCTGCTGGAGCAGGGGGCTGGACTAGAAGACCTCTGAGGTCCCTTCCAGCTCAATCTATCCCGATCGATGGATTGATTGAAATGGTCTAGGGTCTCCTGCTTGAGCAAAGGGCTGGATTAGAAGACCTGGAGTAGAAGAGCTAGCGGAGTGTTTTACGGGCCGGATGCCCTTCCTGTCACCAGGGTGGAGTTTTGTTGGGCAGATATATTCTCATGGTGTCCAGAGAGAGAAAGATCTGCCTTTCCCTAGGATCAAACTCAAAGCCTCCTGCTTAATAATAATAATAATAATAGTAATAGTAATACCAATAATACCAATAACAGATAAAATCAAAGTAATTATAATAAAATTAAAATGAATAAAGGCTTAAATCAACCGCCATGTCTGACTTTTCTTCTTCTTTTGTGCTTCTTCTCTTCTCCAGCCTGCCAAGTGGGGTTTTATAAATCTTCCCCCGGGGACCAGCTCTGCGCCCGCTGCCCTGCCAACAGCTACTCCGACAACCTGGCGGCACAGGTGTGTCGCTGTGAACACACCTTTTACCGGGCGCCCCAGGACCCGCCTTCCGCCGCCTGCACGCGTACGTATTTCTTCCCTGCGGGCGTTTCAGTTCCTCAGCTTCGTCTTCCTCCCCCGTCGGGTTTCCCTTCTCCGTCCCGGATCGGCCAAGTTCCGAGGCATCGGCTGGCGTTTTTTCTTCCGGTTGCCATTTGCCGGCTTTCAATTTTGTCCGTTGCGTTTCCCTTCCGGTTGCAATTTCCCTGATAGCGAAGAAATTTCCCCCTCTCGTTCATGAGTTGAAGAGGTTGCGGTTGTTTCTTCTTCTTCTTCTTCTTCTTCTTCTTCTTCTTCTTCTTCTTCTTCTTCTTCTTCTTCTTCTTCTTCTTCTTCTTCTTCT